ACGGCACCAGTGCACTCACCACACACCAGCTATTGGTGGAGTGGAGAGACAGTGACAGAGCCAATTCAGTGGATGGGGATGATTGGGTGGCATGATGTGTAAGGACCAATAGAGGGAATTTAGCCAGGACACCGGGGTTACACCCCTACTCTTTATGAGAAGTGCCATGGAATTTAATGACCACAGAGAGTCAGGACCTCGGTTTAACATCTCATGCGAAAGACGGAATAATGTTCTTGTTATTTTGTCAAATGTGTTGAAAATGTGTCCATGAATCAATGATTAGGCAATGCAATGAAATAGAGATAAAACTAAAAACACATAAAAAAATACATATCTGAATTTTTTCAATATAAAACAATAACATGATACTTCACAAACTGCCAAAAAAAACAAGTAAAATAAAATAAATAAAATTGACATAAAATGAAAAACTGTTTCTGATTAAAATCTACTGCATGCTCATACCTAAAAAAATCTTAATAAATAAAATTAATGTAGATTGTTTTTTTAATGTAACAATTTAACTGTATTGTAAGTGGACACATTTTGCACACAGCCTTTTGCAAAACTTACATGTATAAAAGAAGAGACCAATGCAACACAATAAAAATGTGCTTAAAAAATGTCAGAGTCCTTAAATAGCACACATTCACTAAGCCTGACCCGGAGGTTGTCTCTTTTAACTCCATGTCAGCCACAGAGAGACAGGGACAAAGAGTTTATGTTATTTCTCATTTCCTGGGAATTGGCCTGCTCTCCACAGCTTGACTGCTGCGCTTCCGTACGCAACTTATCGGATCGCTTATCAGGCCGTTTGAAGCTCTCAGTGTCTCCACAACCCACGATCCCAGCTTGAACATTAAATATTCCTTCCTTCAACAGAATGGCGGCGGTCCAGAGTCAAAGCCTACACGGCTAAACAAATAAAAGGAGCCATTGCATGTATCTTGGCAAAGGCACATCATCAGATAAACAGTTTCAAAAAGCCAACACAGAACTATGTGCAACTCGAGACAGTATCAACAAACACGTCCTGCGCATTTTCAAGAGCAAGATTAAACACAGGGGCTTCACGGTTTAATACAAACAAACATACGGCTGCGCACACATCGCTGTCTGCTTTAATGCTTGCTAATGGGCGTAATAATAATCAGAATTTAACAATGATAATATTCTGCTCTATACTGTAAATTCGACTCTGTTTCATGTCTCATTACAAATGTGTGCATAATACTAGAAGGTTTATTGTTTGTTGAAATTGTTATTTTCGATTACCACATTAGGACAGACATTTCTGTGTTGTTTTTAAGAGGTTAAACTATAAAGACAGAAAATAGGAGAAATTTTATAACAACCATCTGATGCAAAAAAAAATATTTAAATAGAAATCCACTAAACTTGTATGCAATTAAATTAGCCTATATCATATATGCAAACAACATACAATATAAATGTTTCTAAAACTTTAGATAGCCTATTGAAGATGCATTAAATGGGGTAAAACAAACCTTAAACGTGTCATTTTTGTAAAAGCATACAGTTCACCAGAGGCGTTTGACACAGGTTATTGAACAATAAAAGTCCTTCTGCATATACCCTATTACAGTTTTTAAATGTTCGGAAAGTTATGGGTTACCTGGTTTGATAAAAATCGTAAAATTACTGTAAAAGGGATGATTAAATTATTTAGAATTGCGTTAAATCTTTTTACAGTAAAATTGAGTCAACACTAAATATATTTATACACAACTGGTCAAAAGATTTGGGTCAGTTTTTTTTATATTATTAATTTATTTACTAATTTAAATAAAGTTATTCTGTTCATAAAGGCGGAATTTATTAAATGTAATTTTCAAATGATGTTATTACTCCAGTCATTATTGCTTTTATTACTATTACCATTAATAATAATAATAATAATAATAATAATTATTATTATTATTAATATTAGTAGTAGTAGTAGTAGTAGTAGTAGTAGTAGTAGTAGAAGTAGTGTTAGTATTAGTATTAGAGTTATTTCTGAAAAATCTTGTGACCCCAAAGACTGGAGTAAGAAACCTGAAAATTCATCTTTAAAATCATTCAGTCATTCATCCATTTTCTTTTCGGCTTAGTCCCTTTATTAATCAGGGGTCTTCACAGCGGAATGAACCACAAAGATATCCAGCATATGTTTTATACAGCGCATGCCCCTCCAGCTGCAACCCAGAACGGGGAAACACCCACACTCTTGCATTCACACACATCCACTACGCTCAATTTAGCAAACCAGAGCACTGGAATAAACGATTAAATAAAATGATAAACTACTTTTGAACAGTTGTTTTATAGTGCAATAACATTTCATAATTTTACTTATTTTTGATTAAATAAATGCAACCTTGTTAAGCAGGAGAAGCTTATTTTAAAACAAACAAAAAAAATCCCACTAACCCCAAACTTTTGACCGGTAGTGTATATTTGTAGCAATCAAAATCATCATCATGCTTATCGTTTTACATTTATTATTTGCATTCTGTTTATTGTAACATAAACATGATTATATACAGGGTGTACTTAGGATTTAATTATATTTAAATAATCTGAGGCATCCTACTTATGTTAATGTGTTTAATTTTTGATTTATTATTATTATAAGTTAAAATAGTACAGTGTTCTGAAAGTTTCTTAATTATTGTTTAAAATTAGGCCTCATCTTCTTTTTGATAATTATCTACTTATTAGCATTATTAAGCACTCAAAACAAGCAACTAAATACAGAGCATCAGCTTTTAAAAAAAAAGTTGGTAGGCAAAAAAAAATGTACTCACTATTAACTCACCCTCAAGTGATTCCAAACCTTTAAGAGTTTCTTTATAATAACGTATTATACTATATAGTTATAAGAAAAAAATTTTTTTTGAAGAAAGCTAAAAACCTGACTTCCATAGTCAGAAAGTCAGTGGGTACGGGTTTCCAGAAGAAGATGCAGGTCCGTAGCCAGTCTATTTAAAAGAATGGTTTGTTTTTCTGAAAAAGTAGACATTTTCGCAGTTATTCGGCTCATTTTCTATTCAACTATGCATTTTAGTGACATTTTAACAACTAATTTTTGCTGGATAAGCTTGTCGGATGGTAATCATAATCACACTTTTTTGATGCACAAAAAATATTTCCTACAATTTTGTCAAAGTGCTTACCATACTATTTTACAAAGTATTTACTTAAAAAATTTTATATAAACCAAGTTAAAGCAGTTTTATAAATATTGTTAAGAGATTAGCATTAAAAAATTAAATAAATAAACATGACAAAAAAAATATTTTTAAATACAAATTAGGGTTGTAACGGTATGAATTTTTCACGGTATGATAATCGTCTAAAACAATACCACGGTTTGACGGTTTCGCGGTATACGGTATGTTACAAATGTTACAAAATAATAGAACAGTGAAGCAAATTTGACTTTTTCCAAATAATATATTTTTAGTTACTATAAACAACACCACTTACAATGAACAAATAAAAATAAGAAAATAATAAATAATGTGTCAAAGTCCAAATAAAGTCCAAATAAACATGGTGCAAATCCTCAGTAAAAAATAGATATAAATATTTACTATACTATAAATAGTTACATAACGAAACTAGATTCAATATGGAACATCCTTAGGTTTTATGTGCCAGCATGGATATGGTTGTCTGTGGATATGGATTTGGATATGGTTGTCTGCAATGCAGACAAACAGCTGCACCTTCATTTGCGTCTTTTGAATACAGCAAGAGCAGCAGTTCGTCTTTGCTGTGTCACTGTTTTGTCATGTTTCTGTGCTGCTGTGCATGCAAAAGTACTTAGTATGAGAATTATTTCATGAAAAACTTTTTTTTTTTTGCGTTTTATTTAGCCGCGCATAAATGTATGCCTATCTCTCATTCCGTGTTGTTCAAAAAGCTTGGTCCACAAACAAAAGCGAAACCTATGCTTATTGGTTGTGATATAGCGAGTTTGAACCAATCTGGGCATGGAGGAGGGACAATGCATCAATGTATCGTGTCTGATTTGTCCGGAGACACAGTGACGAGCGTTTCTTTGTCAAATCAGCGTTGTCAAATGTTGATGACGTAACCGCACTGATTCCGGAGCCTCTGAAAGTCCGAATGTTATGTGATACAGCACTGGAAAGCTGAGATTCTCTTCTTTATGCCAATCTTTGAATTGTATGAATCAGATCAGCGGATCAAAAGTTATTAAACATTTAAGAGCAATACTTATTTTTAGCCGCGAGCGGCTGTCTCGGTCTTTAAGGGTTAAAACCGTTGATATGCAATTGTTCATGGTATGATAATCGTGCACGTTCAAATCGTGGTAAACCGTCATACCGGTATATTGTTACAACCCTAATACAAATTTATCATCATCCATCATTTAAGAAAATAGGAATCTGGTAAAATTAGTTTTAAAATAAAAGCTGTAACCAAGTAAAAAAATTGGCCAGCTCATTTTATTCAACTTTCCTCGAATAATTAAAAACTAGATGTGTCTTAAAGCCTTCTTCTGTTGATACTTTTTACAATTTATGATGGCATAATTAAGTAAAAAATGGGATAAATGGAGTCACATTTTAGACTTTGTGGGGTTTGGGTGTCTTTCGAACCACCCAACTCCCCTCTGGCTACAGGCCTGAGAAGTCAAACGTGTTTAGAACAAGCATATGTTGCATATAATGACAGAATTTTCTTTTAGGGCTGAACTATCTATTCAAGCCTGTTTGTTGATGCCTGCTGCCCTCTGCTGCTCAAACTTACTTTTTTCTAAATCCATGAGTAAACTAAACGCATTTTAAATATTTGAATAACATTTAACAAATAAACTGACTAAAAGTATATGCATGCATGTATGACCCCACGAATCAAAACGAAAGCTATGGATATATTACCATAGATCGACTGTAAAAAAAATTCAAACGTGTATTCGATAACAAAAACTATATTTCCCGACATGCATTGCACGTGTTGCCATAGCGCCACGTTGGTTTACCAACAGTCATGGCGCACAGCCCGTCTCGTGTCTTTGCTGCACTTTCACCGTCTGCTGGTGATGTTTACCGAGACGAAAACCAGTCGGTGTTTAACCGAGGTCGCAAGCAAACACATTTATCCGCTCAAAGCAACGTGAGGGTGATTGAGGTGACGGGCTGCGCGGAGATATCCAGTCCACCAGACCGCGCCTGCGTCTCCATCAGCGTCAAAAACAGCAAAGAAAATGTCAACGACGTGACCAACAGCGTTACCCGAAGACTGGAATACATATTGCAGACCGCCAGACAGCACGACGTCAAGGTGATCAGTTATTAAAATGTGCCTTTCTAAAGCAGCAAGATATCAAGCAATTACAAAAGTTTATTTCCAAACAGGAAGAAAACATCACCGTTACCAAGCATTTACAAAGAGATGAGGATCTCTTCCACATGCAGGCTGAGGTATGAAGTATCGATGCTATTTATTTGATCCTGTATAACGGAGTTATATTACATTTCATCTATAATGATGTGTTTTTTGTATGTGCAGGTGCTTGTGGTGTTTTTAGACTTTGAGAAGATGCAGCAAGCGCGCACAGTTTTGATTGAGAAACTGGACAAAAGTGTGTGTGTTGGTGACCCTTACTACAGTCACAGTGCTGAAAGCCTCAGTTTGTTAAGGTAAATGATGCTAGAATGACTTTCATATGAAGCTACACTGCAATTAAGGCTTTGCGATAAGGCAAAAATGCAATCACAATAGGTAATTTTAATATTGAACGAAAAATATTGCGATATAAGTTGTTAATGCTTCCAGATTTAAAAGAGTACCCCAACAATGACTGAAGCGAAGAAAAGTAAAGGGTCCATTAAATGGCATAACATTTGACTGATAAATTTTCAGTGGCCGAAAATTCGGTGCATCTCTAATATCAACATACTTTCAGATTTCCTCTGTTGCACATTTTTGCAGTGTGATTGACTTTTAGATCAGTATAAAGTTGAAAAAAAAAAATCCAGAGCTTATCATTGTTATTGGCATAAATTTTATCGCGATTAGATATAATCTCATTTAGCGGCCCAGCTCTAACTGCAATTGCTCTGTGCTACAGTATTAAATGATTAGTTCACTTCCAGAACAAATATTTGCTGTTAATTATCTCACCCCCTTTTCATCGAAGATGTTTTTTTTGTTGAAAGAAATTATGTTTTTTGAAAAAACATTTTAGGAACTAGGGCTGCACAATATATTGTTTGAGCATTAATAACGCAATGTGTGTGTCTACAATAATCACATTGCAGGATTGAATAATTTATTAAAGCTTAAAAGTGAAATATTATTATTATTTTTAAATAACTTTTTATTTTATGTTTGATTGTTTAATTTCTTTACCTGCTTTTAAACTCCATAACCATAAAGCACTGTTTATTTACCTTTTAACTGTTGTATTTATATATGCTTGTAATTAGTTATGATTTATGCAAACACACTGCATAGATAAAGACTTGACCATCCCAATCAATTTAAATTAAATCTTTACAAAAAGAGCTATTCAATACATTTGGTGAATTATATTCGTATCGCAATATATAAATCGCAGAAAAAAAATATTGCAATGTCAGATTTTCCAATATTGCGCAGCCCTAGCTGGATTTTTCTCCATATAGTGGACTTCAGTGGTGCCAAATGAACTTCTAAAATGCAAACGTATGTAATATAGTAATACTATAAGGTAAGGCTGCACAATATATCGTTTTAGCATTGATATCGCAATGTGCACATCTGCAATAGTCACATCGCAAGGTCTGCAATGTCGAATCAGGATTATAGTGGAGTAGGAGTTAAAACACACATGATTAATAGATGAGTAATTGCAAAGTTTAAACAAAGTCACCAAAAATTGTGTCGTTTGCATGTGTTTTAATGCCTTTCAAACCAATTTAAACATTCAGGCATAGAAAATTAAAAATTTTATAACTTCAAGAATGATATATTTATGTGCTCATTTATTTATCATTCATTTTACATTCAATTATTCACTTTGTCTACGGGACTACTGTTAGACTCCCAGAAAAAAACACAACATCAACTTCCTTTGTAACTTTGCTTTACTGTATTTACGGTTTGTTGCTTGTAATTTGGTTTATTACACTTTATGCAGATGCGCTCTACTACAAAAGCATCTTAATAACAAATAAAAAAAGTCCTAAATATGATAATTTACAAATAGAGCTATTCTTTTTATGAGTTAAAGATATACTCAATATCACCATGTGCTTGGCAGAAAATTTAAATACTGCAATGTCAGTTTTTTCCAATATCGTGCAGCCCTACTATATAGAACAGACTGAATGCCAGATTATGCAATGGGCATTTTGGGCATGAACCTATGAGAGAATTCATTATATTCATTTATTTTACATTTCAAATGTTACGTGTAGACAAAGGATAGTGATTTCCCATCTTCTAACAGCCTGCATGATTTATATTATTTTACCTATTCGTAGTCATGGTATGAATATGATCTTTAACAGCAAATACAAAACATCACCATAATATTTTTGTTTTGATTGTATAAACAAAAACTTGCCATTCTTGCTTAAACCGGATGATAGCCTAGTGTTCCAAGATAAAAACCTGTAATGTAACATGTATAGTACTACAAATACATATGTATAGTAGGATTTGTGCATTTAACTTTTTTCTCAAATTCAATAATTATATTTTGTTATTTTTGTCATGTTAAAGAACCCTACGTTTATTACTTTACCATTTTTTTCTAAAGACATTTCAAAACAGTGACTTAAATGTACATAAAGCAATATATGAAAAATGCTTTTGACCAGTGTAGGACCAGATCCAAAAATACACTTGTGGCCAATCAGCAGAAAGGGGTGTGTCTAGCAGCATAGAAAGTAAAAGATGGCACAAAGCAAAACTACTATAAAACACATATGCAAAGTGTAATTTTTTTTTTACCTTGTCTGAAATGCTGTAACACTCCATTCTGCAGACGACGTGTGTGTTTGGAAGCGGTGGACAATGCCCGACTAAAAGCCAGCGAGGCGTGCTGTATTCTGGGCCAGGCTCTGGGACGTCCGCTGTTGGTCCGTGAGGAGGAATCTCGAGAGTGGAGCAGCAGTCAGCAGGATGCCTCTGGCTCTCCTCTAACACTACACCCCAGGACTGATGCTACGCTAATCTCTGCCACTTCACGCATGTTTGTCACCTTTGAACTGCGACCTAAGGACAATAACAGGAGGAAGTTTTAGTTTGTTCAACAATAATATAATTACTACACATTTTTATGTATGTTAACGCCTATAAAGAACCACTGATATTCAGAAAAGAGTCCACAGTGAAGATAACACTATTTACTCCCATTGTTGTCGTAATGAAAAACAACTATACTGATGAATAGCACTGTGTGCAGCTTTAATGAACATGTTATTCAAATAATCAGTGTTTACTTATTAGCTGGCATTTTCCATTTATTGACACTAACGAAATGTATCATTGGACCTCAACTTTGGATAATAAAAAGTTTAACAAAGTCACTTTTGAATCAATATAATTTTATGGGTTGTTGCTGTACAAAAGTGGGTAATGATCTGCCATTACTTTTTTGATCTAGTGTTGTATTTTTGATACTGAACAGGACTACTATGCTCTTTAAAGTAAAATGTTTACCATCCCCTCTGGTAATAGATTTTAATTCTTGCTTTAACTAAAAAGACATTTTGGCCTTTTTTGAAAACCCATTAGCAGAAAAGCTAGAAGAAACATTTAAGAGTTTGTAGCTAATTCGTTATAGAAAATAAGGCAAATATGACTGGAAGGAGACAGAAGAGCCTGGTAATGATAAACAAAAACAACAATAAAGAACACGAGGACCCACCAGATCTCAGGTGTTTGATTTGGAAATAGTTAAGACACTAGAGGTCTCAAAAATAAAGGTTCTTTACTGGCATTAAAGGATCAATAAAAACATTTACCATTAGCATTAACCTTTCATTGCACTAAAGATTCTCAAGATTTTTAAAGCAATAATATCTTCTGAAAACTTTCATTTTATGAGTACATAGTCTGATTCAGTTACATTATCTAAAAAAAAAGAGAGGTAGAGAATGCAAAACTCAGTCCAACCAATGTAACAAAATAAGAGAAAGCAAATATAAAGCATTACATAAAAAAATAACCCACGTACCTGGCAAGAAGGTACAAAATCAAAAGCACAAAACTAGGATATTAACAGATAAGCATCTCAAAATGTTTATAAAAGCAGCTAGGGAAGACTTGACTGAAAGAATCATTAAGACCAACATGATAGATTTGAAAACGCAAAAAGAGCCAAATGAAATCCTACAAAAATGTTGCACTTAAAGCCTTAATATTTACAATTGTATGACTTGCAATGTAATTACATGGTAAAGTGGTTTCCGTGTTTGTTTGTTTTTTCCCAAGAACAGGACTAACCTATCCTAACAGGCCCAAAAGTTATTTGAATGTAATAGGTAATTCGGTTTCAGGGACTTATAACGTAATCCTTTAGGATGTTTAAGACAAGAAACACATCTATTTAACCGCACTGATTTGTTATTGTAAACAGCTTTCAAAACATTTTGGCCACGACATGCATTTTCAGCATATCGACGTCAACAAAGCAACATACTGACAACTACCTGCAGTTCACAAACATTTAAAAACATGTTTGTGAACAAAACACGATATAACGATTAATTACCTGCCATAATTTACTGTTCAAAAACACCTCTCTGCTCGACAAAAAAGCACGCCGCATATGAACATGCCGAACACGTGACGCTTTCCCGGATGTCTTCTTCGCGCTTTTTGTTAACTCCGTGGCAAAACCATAGACTGTAAAGGGCAAAACGCATAGGAGTTTTAACACTGTACACACTCTACGTTTCTGAAACTATTAATAATTATGGCAATAGAAAGACTTTGATTTATACTTTTTATCTTGATGATTATTTTAGTCTTCCCATATTACTGCAGTTTTAACATGAAGTGACACGACATCTGACGTACAGATATAAATGGCATCTGCCACGGAGTGAAGGAGTGTAGTGACACTTCGGGTGGCATGTCGGTTTTCACTGTCATGTGTCACTCGGTAGTGGCATGTGTAGTGACCTGTCGCGCTGCAGTAATACTGATCTGAATCTGATCTGAATACTGAACACTAATCAACACTTGCAAATCGATTTTTAATTATTACGCGACTTTTAACATGATTTATTCCACCGCAAGTTAGTTATGCTTGACTACTCCATGATGTTTTAATTTATTTATCATCTATTTTATGTATTCGAGTTATACATCCTGAATTTATTGCTACTATAGATAATATTTAGTCATTTGACAATAGCCTACATGTCAGTGGATATCAATCTTATTGTGACATGCTGATCTGCTGTGTCATATATTATTGCATCGTGGAGTTTTTTCCATGTGTTAATTAGTTAATTATTTTATTTAATATTTTTTCTATTTTTATTAAGTGTGATTAATTCCGTATTTTTTAATCATTTGACAGCCCTACTTTAAAGATATTATTCCAGCAAGTTTTATTTTTTTAAGTTATTAATTTATTTATTTTTATCAGCTAAACTCTCCCATTATAAATTTTTTCTTTTGTTATTAATTCCGGAGGACAAACTCGCACAGTTTTTCTTCGGTCTACCTCCGATAGAACCACCTCCAATTCACATTCTGTGAAGATTCTCTTCTTGCCTGCTTTGGCCATTGCTTTTTCATTTGGTTTTTCCAAAGTGGAGTCATTACTATATTTATACACGGTAAGAGGCAGGGAATGGTTTTGTGCTCATGCATGTTGCACTCAATTTTACGGAATTCAGATGTACAAAGAGAATATGCATAGGATTCCGTATACGCAGTATTTCAACATCTGATTTTTTTACTGTGTATGACAGGAGTTTTAGTTGAAATGAAATGAAATGTTTTAGTTTTCATTCAATGCAAGTCATTGTACATGAGGCCCCTGACCTGCAGGGATGTTTTTAAAAAGCCTAGTAAGAGCTTGATTAGCTAGCCCAGGTGTGTCTGATTGCGGTTTAAACTAAACTTTGCAGGACACCGGCCCTACATGACCGAGTTTGGACAGTTCAAGAGGAAGGGTTGGTGGTGGGATAAAAAAAAAAAAAAAGATGTCCACGATTTCCCAGAAAAAAAAAGTATTTTCAAGAGGAATGGGTGATGGTGGAAAGAAAAAAAGAAAGAAAGTAAAAAGAAAAAATGTCCTTCCAAAAAAAGAGTAATTCTAAGAGGAAGGGGTTGTGGTGGGAAAAAAAGGAAGGAAAAAGAAAAGAAAAGATGTTTTCCCAGGAAAAAAAAGTCATCTCAAGAGGAATGGTGGATGGTGGGAAGAAAAAAAAGGGGAAAAAAAAGTACAAAACTTCTTGCACATGAATGGAAGTCTATGGCGAGAAAAGCCCAGTGTGATCGCAGCTTAAGAGCTTGATTTGGCAGCTGAGGTTTGTCTGATTGCGTTTAAAAATAAACTTTGCAGGACACCGGCCCTACAGGACCGAGTTTGGGCAGTCCAAGAGGAAGGGGTGGTGGTGGGAACAAAAAAAAGAAAAGAAAAAAAAGATGTCCTTCCAAAAAAAAAAAAAAAAGTACTTAAGAGGAAGGGGTGGTGGTGGAAAAAAAAAAGAAAAGAAGTCCTTCCAAAAAAAAAAAAAAAAAGTACTTAAGAGGAAGGGGTGGTGGTGGGAAAAAAAGAAAAGAAAAGATGTTTTCCCAGGAAAAACATCAAGAGGAATGGGTGATGGTGGGAATGAAAAAAAGAAAGAAAAGATGTCCTTCCAAAAAAAGTACTTACAAAAGCAGAGGTGTCCGACCTCGGCCCTGGAGAGCCGGTGTCCTGCAGATTTTAGCCTTAACTTGCCTCAACACACCTGCAGGGATGTTTCTAAAAAGCTTGGATATGCCACGGTCACATTAGAGTTTGAGCCTGCGAAATTCTGTTGTACAGCGCTGTGAAAAGGGCCAGGATTACACAAGATAATTAGACATTTAAAAAAGTGAGCGATGACTCCATATTTTAAATCTTTGTCCAAAGAGGTCATGTTTTGATCCTCGATTGGTCTCGCGCATTCAAGTGATGCAATTCGCAGGTCAGACTTTACCAAGCTTGAACTTTGCAACGCAGAACTGCAAAACTTGTTGCACAAGCTTGTGTTTTCGGTCTGACGCATTCACGTGCACATGAAGTCTATGGCGAGAAAAGGCCAGTGTGACCGCAGCTTAAGAGTTTGATTAGGCAGCCCAGGTTTGTCTGATTGCGGTTTAAACTAAACTTTGCAGGACACCGTGGAAGGGGTGGTGGTGGGGAAAAAAGAAGGAAAAAAAAGAAAAGTCCCATAAGGTAAAAAAATCTTTTTTCAAATATTTTTCAAAATACCTAAAAAATATATATTTTGTCAAATATATTCAGACATATATTAACAAATATATCTTCTACAAATACATTTTGACCATTTATATTTTACCCAAATTTGCATGAAACTCTGCAGGAAACACAGGACAGCCTGTTGATGCGACATTAATTGTTTTATACTTAGGCTTTTCTTCTAAAATCGCTTCCTTGATATATTTTACCCATCATATTATATATTTACCCATCATACATTTAAATTTTCTACATTCACTTGACAAAATCTTTTTTTATTGTAATGATATATTTTTTGTATGCAACAGTTTTTTAAGGATACATAAGTTGCATATATGCTATTATTATTATTATTATTAATTATATTAAAAACATATTAAATAATAAATACTTTGATCTCCTCTCAATACTTTAGGTTTGAAAATGTATTCATCACCCTAAAATGTATTTAGAAATGTATCAATTTCCATTTCAAAAATAGATTTTATTAAACAATACATATACAGCATATATCTAACATATATTTAAAATATATTTTGGCCAGGAAATATAATATTTTACCATATGGGTGAACACAGTTTATCCCATTCTCAATACTGTTTTATACAACAAATCATTCATTTTTTTGATTTAAATAAATATCACAATAACTAAAAACATTTGATCATAACTAATCACATTCTGCAAACCATATTACCTGTCAAAACAACATGTGCATATTAATCCACTGTCATATTAAAACAATGTTTCCCAAGCCTGTTCCTGAAGGCACACCAACAGTAGGCCTACATATTTTAGAAGTCTCCCTAATCTGACCCATTAACTTCAGGTTTTGGAGTCTCTTCTTATGTTCTGATGAGTTGATCGAGGTATGTTTGATAAGGGAGAGGTTGAAAATGTGTACTGTTGGTGTGCCTTCAGGAACAGTGTTGGAAAACACTATTATAAAATACACTCACTGGCCACTTTATTAGGTACACCTGTCCAACTGCTTGTTAATGCAAACTTCTAATCACATGGCATCAACTCAATGCATTTATGCATGTAGACAAAGTCAAGACGAACTGCTGCAGTTCAAACTGAGCATCAGAATGGGGAAGAAAGGTGATTTAAGTGACT